TGCTGGAAAATATAGGAATTTCTGTAGTACCCTTCATTGATCAAATCTTTCAACTGGCCCTATCACCTTACACCGGCAGCATTCCCAGTCATTTCTTCCTGTGCGAGGGCTTAAATATGCAGGCCAAGTCTCTTTCATCCTCTCCGCAGAGGACCCGATGTAGGGTATTCATTTTCCCAAGAACGAATTAAACCTTCACGCGTAGAGAAATTCGAACCACCCGGGCAATGGCGATGAGGGAGATGAGGGAGAATCAACTAGCTTTTCAACTAGTTTTGATGATATTCTTATCGTGATTCGCACCTCATTTGCCAACTTCTCAAATGGCCATCTCGAATTACCCGTAGTTCCTCCAACGAGCTACTTCCGGTTCCAAATACCTAGGTAGACGTACGGATCGGAGAGACTGGAATTTTTCGTGTAGAACTTGAATGTGATCCACCTGGGCAACTAGAAACTTGAATGTGTTGATAAAGCGAGTCTGAAAACAGTACGCTATTTCAAGTTCATATTGTATTCGGAGTATCATATATTAGAGGTACCATCAACGTACTACTAGTAGTAGATATTCAAATGTCTACTAGTACTAGTTATATAATAGTATATCTAACCTTCTTAAAGTGCTTGAGCCGTACTATCCGAACACTTAGAAGTGGACCTTGAAAACAAGACGATCCCGAATTGTCCCGTCTTACATGCGTATAAAAAGGAAAGAAAGGGTTATCCCATTAAGATGCCTCTGTATCGCTTGATGTTCATGCTGCATTGCAGCATTAGTTTTGACTAGTTCGTGCAACCTCACTTGCCAAATTTGGATGTGATGTAATGTGCATGACTCAGCATATTGGGCATGTGATGACTGTCTCAGCTTTCCCCAAATCCCCGTGCGGAGTCGTCTCTCTGCTTGTCCAACACAGCCGAGAAGCTCAAGACATTTCCATTTATTCACCCAAGCTGGTTTGTTGCCACTAATTCTCACTATGGCGCAGCCACTTGGCAGGTTAGTCAAGTCAATGCGACCGGATCAAGGGTAGTACTGATAACTCTCCAGCAAGACCGAACAACCGGGGAGGATCTACCAAGAGATCGAGCTGGAGGAGAAGCAAGGATTTCTCAATGATGAAGAACGAGCTGCAAATTTCAATGATGCTTCCATTTCAAGCAGTCGTCGTGACAGTCCTAGAGCCCACCCCTTGCGAGACATGTTGAAGAGTGCGGTGACAATCTGCTGGGTTGCCCTTTTGATCTATATGGTAGTTGGCTTTTTCCACGGTACGTCTGACGGTATCTTTCGTGATTGATCGGAGTAAGGTGAAATAAGTCTGATTGTGGTTCCAACTACCAGGAAATACATCGGAGTTTGTCGAGGACCCCACCCCACGTCCGCAATCCCCACCAGCCGTCTGCCAAACCCCGGAATGTATCCACGCCGCATCGGAGATTCTATACAACCTCGACCCTAAATATAGTGAGATCGACCCCTGCACTGACTTCGACCAATATGTTTGCGGCGGATGGAGAGAGCGTCATGACATGCGTGCCGACCAGGGTTCCATTTTCGCTGGGACAATCATGGAGGAAAATGCTGAAACTACCCTTCGACATGTTTTGGAGCAGCCCAAGGCCAAAGATTCGGCTGATGTCAAGAACTTCGAGAAGATAAAAGCCGCCTACGGTGCTTGCCTGGACGAGTCTGTAATCAAACAACGCGGAAGCAAGCCCCTGGACGAGCTCCTCGCCAGGCTGCAGAACATCTATCCCTCTAAGAGTGGATTGATCGCCGGAACTCAAGATCATCTTACCAGTGCCCTCTTATTCCTGATGAAATCCGGAGTTGAGGCTCTCGTCTCACCCGGTGTTTCTGTAAGTCTCATCAAGAGTGTTTGTCGTGCGAAAAGCTGCAATGGATCTAATACGAAGAGCGACAGGCTGATGATCGGGACCCTGACAATGTCATTATCCTTGTGACACCACCGCGCGAGGTTGGACTTCCTGCACTCGAGTATTACAACAATACAGAGATCGTGAGCAAGTATACCGAAGTTCTAAAGCAAGTGCTTCAAGGGTTTGGAGGCAACGACAAAATCGCCGAGAACATTGTCACTTTTGAAAAAAAGATTGCCAATGTGACTCCTGATACCCAGACACAGGAGGATGTCACCAAATATTACAATCCGCGAACCATCAAGGAGACTGAATTGCTGCTTCCCGAGGTCTCCTTCGCCGACATAATCACAGAGTTGGCCCCTCATGAATATAAAGGAGACCGCTTGATTATTGGCTCACCGACATATATGAAAGCCCTGTCTGACATTTTGAATGATGCATCGCGAGAGACTGTTTCGTTCTTTTTGCAATGGAAGCTTATCCAGCGATATGCTAGCTACATCGAAGATGACAAAGTCAGCTCGATACATCGTTTTGAGAATGAGTTGGCCGGTAAAGACCCGCAGGCGACCGAGGAACGCTGGCGTAAATGCATCAATCATCTCGACGAAAGTCTCGGCTGGAGCCTTAGCCGATTCTACGTCCTGAGCTCATTCTCCGAGGAGTCCAAGAAGCTCGGTGACCAGATTGTCTCCGATATCAAGGAGCGATTTGTTTTCACACTGGACCAGACTTCTTGGATGTCTTCGGAGGTTCGCAAGCTCGGTATCAAGAAAGTAGAGAACATTGTCCAGAAGATCGGGTTTCCCACCAAGAGCCCTAATGTGCTGGATGCCCAAGATGTTGAGAAATACTACCGTGACCTAGAGGTGGCTAACTCTACCTACTTTGAGAATGCACTCGCCACTTCCAAATTCGATCTTCACGGCGAATGGTCAAAGCTGGGAAAGCCAACAAACCGGGATGAATGGGATATGACTGCCTCGACGGTCAATGCCTACTACAACCCGCCTGGAAATGAGATTGTCTTCCCCGCTGGTATCATGCAGCCACCAGCGTTCTACGGACCAAATGCGCCGTTGTATCTGGCCTATGGTGCATTTGGCTCTGTCAGCGGCCACGAGCTTTCGCATGGTATGTATCTTTGTTTTAAAAAACATGTCAAAACTTTCTAATAGCTTGTAGCGTTTGACTCGACCGGTCGCCATTACGACGAAATCGGAAATTATACGGACTGGTGGGATGACAAGACCGTCGAAGAATTTGAGAAGCGAGCCCAGTGTTTTGTTGACCAGTACTCCGATTTTACCGTGGAGGGTCCAGGGAATAAGATTCTCCATGTCAATGGACGCTTGACCCTAGGCGAGAACATTGCCGACGCTGGTGGACTCACTGCATCATTCCACGCCTGGAAGAAACACGACGAGGCCAAGCCTGATCTTCACCTCCCTGGCCTATCGAATTTCAGCAAGGAACAACTATTCTTCGTTTCTTATGCCAACTGGTGGTGCGGCAAGAACACCAAAGAGGCCGCGGAGCAGGCCATCTATAATGACCCGCATGCGCCCAAGTCGGCACGGGTCATCCTGAGCATGGCCAACTCCCGGGAGTTCAAAGATGCATTCCAATGCCCCGAGAAGAAACCGGTTTGTAAACTTTGGTAGTTAATCGTTGGTGACACCATACATGGTCTAGATTGATCATTCTTTAACTTGGCCTTTGTTTGGCTGTTTCGGGGATTTTTTTAGTTTGCCGCCTTGTGCGATTTTTACGATTAGCATCAATCAATAGCGATCCCTTCGCAGGGGTCTTCAATTGGAATTTCTTGGTTTTCGAAGTCATTGCCTTCCTCTCACCCTCAGACATCAAATCTGATTTTGCCTGCAGGTGGTACTGCCCTCCGAGGTATCATCTGCAGAGTCGTAATGGAGAGTTGAGAGCCGAGTCTTTTTTCCACATCAGGCCAGTCAGATCTGGTGCTGCATTGAGTTAAAGCTCAAGTCAAGAAAGGCGATCCCGCGTCGAAAGCGAACCTCCGCTGCAGATCATGGAGGGGCTCAGGGGTCTGAGAGTCGATGGGATCGACTTGAGATGGGATCGCTGGGAATTGTAAAAAAGGGAGATCCCGGTGGATCATGTGAAAGGCGCAAAATTGCGAATTGCAGCGCCAACCAAGATTAATTAGTTAAAATTATTATTATCATTATTATTATTATTATTATTTTTTAAAAAAAGAGCACACGGACTAGTAGGCCCGGTTGTGGAACGGGGAGGGGGTAAAATGAAGCGAGCAAGGGCTTCTTCAGTTGAACCATCTGCAATCTGAAATCCAAAATGTGAAATGCGAAGGAGTGACACAGATGAGGACAGGTGGAACCCTCTCCCCTCCCCTTCCATTGCCCCGGGTCCGCATGAGACAAGCGCACCGGAAATCAGGATCAAAGTGACAGGGCGAGCTGAGAGCTCCATTCATCAGCTCATCAGCTCGCGGGTTCCGGCGTCGCGGAGTGGAGACGGGATAACGGCGGCAGCAACATCGACCAACCAAGACCGGAGGAGGTCCGCTTCACCGGGGCGAATGGTCGAGGGACAAGTGGGGGCAATGACCTATCACCTGGAATCATGTCACTGGAGATCTTCAGCTGATGGGATTGGGGTGGAGGGGAGGGGAGGGAAGGTGAAAAGGATGAAGTTATTCAGGTAGAAGTAGTAGTAGTAGTAGTAGTAAAAGTATAGAGTATGGAGTATACAAGTAGTATACTCCGGGTACTCCAGTGGAGGAAGGCACGACGGGGACCATAGGCCATGTACCATGGAAAGAGGAAAGAACGGTTACCCAGCGTTCGCCTTGCACCCGACTCCCGTGACTCCCGTGACTGCTGTGACTGCTGACTGGTTTGACTGGTTGCTGGTTCCGCCGCGTCGGGACCGTTCCCCAACTCCACTTTGGCAAAAACAGAGGTGTCGCCCTCCCTTTCACTTTCCTGCGTCATGTCCATATCGCCCTGAGCCTTCTCATCTTCGTCTTCTTCCTCGTCTTCGTCTTCATCTCATCCTCATCCTCATCCTCACACCCTCCATGCCGTGATTTGGGCTCTGCTTCTAGGCTGCTGATGCATTCGTGTTTCTTAAAGCCTGGAACTTCTCTTCGTTTCGCGACGGGGGTTGAACGGTTCGCTGCAGAGCTGTTACCCAGGCCTCTCGCGTCCGCCCGCAATGGAACCGATGGAACCGTTCCTGCGAGCATTGACCCGCCGCTGCATTCCAAAACCAAGACCGGCGAGCCTCGAGTCCATGTGGATGAACTACCCGCCTTGTATCGAACGCGCAGCGGAGGGACCCCCAAGACGATATCAACCTTACGACGTGCCAATACCGTCGCACAAAGTGGCAGTACAATTAAGAAGAATTTGGAACTGAAGGCTTCCCGAGATCGGACAGCTACGACAGGCCTGCGAGCTAAGGACAGCCATGAATTGTTACGAAAGACCCCATTGCAACGATCCCAGACACATCGGGGCCCGCTGGAGGCACGTCCAGCCCCGAGGAAAGCAGGTCATTTTACGGTTGGCAGTGTCGGCCAGAATGGGAAGATCTTTCTCAGGTACGATCGATCGATAATCTCGGCGACGTGGTCTCGTGTGACACATTTGCTGCAGTAAGCTAACAATATTTCCCCCCGTAATTAGGCCGATTGCAAATCCCCAACAGAAACCCTCCCATACAGTCCCATTCGCACCGATCGATCCAGTGACGAATGATCGTCTCCAACCGCCCCATCACTCGCATGTTCGAGACGATCCATCGCGATGGTCCAGTTCGCAGCTCTCCGAACTACGTCCGCGTGGGGATATACACGAGGACAATAAGTCGGCCGTTACTGAATACACCAATCCTGAGACAACTGGCCGCATCCTCCAGAAATCAACCTCTTTCTCGACATTATCAGAGCAACAATCTGTAGCAGGAGCGGGGAAACGTGGGGAGCTGCGCATTGTCATTGATAGATCTGATGATCGGCCCAAATCTGCAGACGAGAAGACCCCCAACACCGCTTTGGGGGTTCCTATGACCCATTACCGACTGGGATCGCCACGGTTTAATAGAGAGGGCAGTGCAGCCCTGCATAGTTCCGTCTATACGCGAACCTCAATGTCCGATAACTTTCGGAATTCAACCTGGTTGGGTAGCATGGCGGACCCGCTGCCGACTCATCTGTCCAGTGCATATGGCAGGGAATCTTTTTCGCGCTATCGGCCATCCTTCGCGGTCTCCATGTTCTCGGGGCCCGCAGCCATTGATCTTAGCCGGGCTTCTCCAGCACCAAGGAACTCGATGGTTTATGAATTGAAAGGACCAGTAGAGCCCTCAATTTACGAAACCTTGGTGTCGGATATGGATGGAGAAACCGTTGTACGATATATTCCCGGTACCAAGGATATAAGTGCTGCTACGCCTGCTCGGATTGTTGCCCAGATTTCTTCAGAATCATTCATGGACTATGAGCTGGTTTCGGACTTTTTTCTAACGTTCCGCTCTTATCTCTCGCCTAGCCATCTTCTCGCCTTGCTTCTTGCGCGCTTGGAATGGGCTATCAATCGGCCGCAGGAAGATGGAAGGATTATTCGTATCCGCACCTTTGCCGCTCTCCGCCACTGGATCTTGAACTATTTCATCGATGACTTCGTCACAAACTACGATCTCCGGGCTCACTTCTGCGAAACCATCAACAGTTTGTACCAAGATGTCAAATCTCGAGAAAATGGTGGTATGAGCGACTTGAAAATCCTTCTTGACCTGAAAAGATGTTGGAATGGCAAGTGCTCAGTCTACTGGACCGCCGCTGACTATACCCGTACCTACAATGACCCTGATAGCCACATCTTGCCGGGAAGCACTCATGTCGAAATGCCCAGTGGTGATGCACCTCCACAGCAAGATGATTTCCCACCAGGAATGGAATCTCAACCAGAACCAAGTTTTCTAGACAACACTACCGTTTATGTCCAGCATGATCGAAATCATTCTGCCGCGACTGCTCACAGTATACCCCTTTCCACTACAAGTGAGCAAAGCATGGTGGCACTATCTTGTTCACTACCTCCCAAATCTCCGAAGCGCTTTTCCTTTTCCCATTCAAAGGGTAAAGGACCACGCCCCGTTCAATTAGGCCTTGCAAAAACAACATCTCCCCATGATCAACCACCATCATCGCCCATGATATCGCGCCATCCGTTCCAAGGACATGGTCACAAGCGAAGTGCAAGCTTCTCGGACTCCGTGCGAAATGACCGGGTCCTCATGGTCGGTATGGACGCAGGATCAACAGGAACAGGGCCCAAAGAAATACTAGATCCTGTCAGCTTCATTAGAGGAGCGCTTTACCCACCCGTGGAATCTTACATGACCATGATGGCACCGGAATCACCTCCATTGGCTCCTCCATTGTCGAATTCCAACCCAGACCGGAGAAGTACACCGGATGGAGGACCCAAAACAGGAGCCTCAAACTCGGGAATGAGAACCATCATTGGTTCTATCAAACGTGCCCTCCACACAAGGAACGGCGGGCAAAGTGTTTCCGCACGAATGACAAATGTTTCGGAGACTATTTCGTTGCCCAGTCGAGGGAAAACATCTGCGATGCCGAATAACATTTCTCTGGGGTCTGAGTTTTACCGTGAGAGGAAAATGGCCGCGGTCCCCGGCAACCGGCACGACTTGATGTGCTCTGTGAGGAGTCTCTCAAACAGTATCGCTTGCTTATGGACGCGAATAATGCTCCAGAAGACCACCAATCCCCTGGTGGTGCCCCGGGACCTCGAATTACGTTCCAGCAATCCTCTCCAGACTTAGGTGAATCTTCTACTCTCCACATACCCAGAGCCGGGGAATCGAAGATACAAAGCGGAATTACTACTGGAAGTGGGTCGATTGTCATCGTCGATGACACTGGGTTCGAATTCCCTACGATGTCTGGGGCCGTGCAGGAACAGGATATTACCAGTAATACGGACCAGAAGGCTCATTTAACTCCCAACGGGAGAGTGAAATCGGATTTAGAGTCGATTGCGAAGGAAGGAGAGTATCTCCTTCCGATAGTCTATAACGGCGAAAGTCCCCCGTCTACAGTTGAGGATCCTCCCATCCGCCGCCCTTCTGTCATTTCAGCTCAACGAAGATCCTACACGGAGCATCCAACACCGCCTACAAAAAGTGTATCACTTTCTCTTCGTCTTCGGAAGTATGCATCCTTCCAGAGTGGGATTTCTAAGCATCGCCAGTCAATGGGCAGCGACGCAGGCAGATCTATTGAAAGCTCCAGCATCGTACAAGAATCTTCAGATAAACAGTTTGGCCCATCACTTCGCAGAAGACCCGGCGGAAACTTGCGACAGATGCAGTTTGTGGACGATCTTGACCCAACTTCGGGACGTGGATCATTTATTTCTAGCCATTCATATGAGAACTCTCTGGCAGAAACAACAACCACAGACGACATCGTGTCAAGACCACCAACTGCTCTTGTTCCGCCAAATCCCCGTTATTCTTTGGTTCATGGTAAACCCAATCGCAATATCCGGCGTTCGTTTGAAGCAGCCATTGCCCGCTTTGCCGACATCCCTGATGATGACGACGGAGGAATTGAATCAACTTTGCTTAAGCTCGAGGGTAAATGGAGCCCCCCGGCGACAAATGCAGACCCTGACGTCACCGATGGACATAATCATGGACATCATCTGCCCATGGCGAGGGACGAATTCGGATGGGACGCAGTTTCTCGAAGACGACAAACCGACAAATCGGCATATTCTACCACCAAAGGTCGATTAGCACCGCCACGGCCCTACTCGGACTCCGTAGCGGAGTCCGAAGAATCATATAATTCGATTCCTCTTTTGGAAAGAGGGTTGTCCGACGAGTCAATGAAGCGGCCTCCTACAATCAGGACCGCTGAACGTGATGCCCACGACGCTCCTTTGAGTCTCATATCGAGCAGAGATACTTCCGAACTTGCGTCTTCCCACCCCTCAATTCAGATTATTCAGAAGACAGAAAGTCTGCGGCGGATTCCTCGCGGCTCGACAAACCCCGACTCGGCTTATCTCAGTGCCGGACAGGTGACACCGAGGCGCCTTTCGGCCCTGTCCTCTGAGCTATCTGTCGATATGATTGATCCACGTGAAGCCATGCAGGGTCGTACCTCATTCGATACTCGTAGCCTCACAGCGTCAACTTTGGATATTCCGCCTCATCCTTTGGCGCACCCACCCTCACCTCCCATGACCATCCAACACCCTGGCTCCTTCGGCTCCTGTACCTCGCCAATGGACAAGGTACTTTTCCAGGCTCAACCTCTTACACCGGACACCTCCCCTCGACGTCGGGAAGGGGATACACATACCCAGATATCCAGACACGTACCTCAGTTTTCAAGTGATGTCCTCTCGAATTCCGAGAAGAACCGTCCTGCTCTCAACCCGCTCAACTCTGGCCCCAGCCATGTCCCTTTTGTGCTTGCCTGCGAGTCCCAAGTCTTGGCCCAGCAACTCACTCTGGTTGAGATGGCGGCCCTAAGCGAAGTTGATTGGCGTGATTTGGTCGATATGAGATGGGGCAATGGCTCGCCCTGCATCCTCAGCTGGGTACAGTTCCTCGCCGCAGAAGAACACAAGGGCATTGATCTAGTTGTCGGTCGTTTCAATCTTATGGTGAAATGGGTTGTATCTGAAATCGTTCTGACCGTTGATATCCATGAACGGGCGCGAACGATCATCAAGTATATTCACACCGCCGCTCATGCTCGCCGCATCTGCAATTATGCCACTATGCTTCAGATCGCCATCGCTTTGGCTTCATCCGACTGTTCTCGGCTATCAAAGACCTGGGGACTGGTTCCCCAGGAAGACAAACGTCTGTTCAAAGATATGGAGTGTCTGATTCAGCCTGTTCGCAATTTCCACGATCTTCGGGTCGAGATGGAAACAGCCAATCTCCAGGAAGGCTGCATTCCATTTATCGGTAAGTCTGCTGTTTCAATTACCCCCTTTAACTGATCTTTTGCTAATTCATTGGCTATAGGCTTGTATGTACATGACCTTACCTATAATGCACAAAAGCCTGCTCAAGTCAACAGCAGTGCGGGTGGCTTGTTGGTTAACTTTGAACGTTACCGCACTGCTGCCCGTATCGTCAAGAGCTTGCTTCGCTTGATCGACGCCAGCACCAAGTACCGCTTTGAGCCCGTGCAAGGCATCATTGAGCGGTGCTTATGGATCGCGTCCTTGTCCGAAGATGACGTTCAAGCCCGTAGCAAGCGCCTTGAGTGATCTCGTATCACATGTTCTCTATTGTCTTTCTTTTATTTTTAATTTTTATGATTGGATATTTCATACCCCCCTTCGCTACGGAATTTTGAACCCCGTTCTGCCATATATCCTGTATCTATACTTGCATTGTTTTGGGATTTCTTTTTCTTTTTTGAATTGATTCATAACGCGTTTAAAGCGATCATTTGCATACAAGCTAGTCACCTGGAAATATCATGGCTGGAGGATTGTCTATATAATTGTTTATTCTTTTCTATGTAGGTATGTATGTATGCTCAGGTACAGCTAACTAGCTGGTGCCTGACTTCGTTGCAATATAGCAATCCCTCACCCACGAAGCGAGGAATTCTTTATTTTATTTAGATCCGACAGCTCGGTTAATGAAGATCTTCCCGAACATTACCAGCTTTCTTTTCCGGGAGACCGTATAGTCACCGGGTAGTTCAGTTTCATCTAAAGTAAGGATAGTTAAAGTGCGTCATCAAGCTGGCTTTATTGGCGGTGGTTGATCTACGGGCCGGACCACCATTTTCACTGGCACTTCCGACCTTGACCCATCTCACTCCCGACAACACCAATTTCGACCGAGGAGGGCCCTCCATTTTCGCGCCGATTCCCTCAGGGATCACCATAGACATCTGTTCCCCTTTGGATGTCCACCTTCCAACACCCTCGATTGTAGGCCCGCCACGATGGACACGGCCGAGTCACCGCGCGGGGCTTCAGAGGAGGTCGACCCCAGTCACAACCATAGCCCCGCGTCTTCAGGAAGCCCGAAGGAACTCCCCGAGGACCTGCCCAAGTCGCTGGACGACCGCCGGTCGGTACCTGTCTTTCAACAGGAGACAGAGATGTACGATGCGTGGCAAGGTGAGAGCTTTCCTTCTCCTCTTGTCCTTTCGGCCAGCCCGGCATTTGCCCAAAGGACTGCCTCCCGTCCAGCCCTTTTTTACTTGAAATTAACTTAATCTCGTTACCTGGCAGGACAATCGCAATTCCTCACCACCCCCGTTGCTGCGAAACCCTTGAGCTTTAGCCTCGCCCTCGATGATCACACACACGACTCGGAGCATGAGCTGCGGAACCGCGACATTGAAGATAGCGATGCCCGATTGATGGAGATGCTAGCTGCGCAGGCCGCCCACCGAGAAGTCGACTCCCTTGGAGCAGATGAAGAGACCATCGCAGCCGACGAGAAATTCACCGTTGCCGAGAAGCGGGATATTCTGCAGAAGAGTCTGAATATGGCCGCGAGTAACGGCGACGTGGAGCGCGTGCGAAAGCTCGTCCAGGGATCCGCTAAGACATATCTCGATGTAAATATGCCAGACGAAGAAGGAACAGTGCCCTTGATCTACGCCAGCTGCTTTGTAAGTAGCCTTTGTCGCTTTATCTGGGGTGGACACGGCCCTGGGAGAGGGATAGCCACTACCCTCTGCTTCAAGTGGAAGGGATACTTTGCCTGCCAAGGATAGGACTGACACTTCATTCTAGGGACATCAAGATGTCGTTGGAGCACTTCTCGATGCAGGTGCTTTTGTCGACCAGCAGGACCGGAACCAGTGGAGTGCTTTGATGTGGGCCATGACCAATCGACACAAGACGATCGCGAAAATTCTCCTCGATCATGGAGCTTCGCCGGACATCAAATCTTCCTCAGGAGGTACGGCTTTCGACTTTGCACAACCGGGCAGCGAGATCTCCGAGTATCTGCATGAAAATGGCTATAGCCTTGGATCTGGTGCCATTGAAGATGACTTTTATGACGCCGGATTAGCACATGGCAGATTTGAGGAGGAAATCGCGGAAAATGAGATGAAACGCCGCATGATGATGGAGGAGAGTGCTATCAATCTTGAGGTAGACTTGTCTAGCCTCGGATTGGATGAGAAATTCGAAGTGAGTATGTCATATCTAAATTGCGAGCAACTAATACTAACTATTGGAAAGCCTGATGATGAGGAGGATATCGAAGAAGAACAGCAAGAATTTGTGTGGGATCGATGCTTAAATGATCAGATGTTTGTGTTTCAAGACCACGAGCTGGAGCGTATTTTGGACATTATCATCACCAACATGGCACCACAGCGATCGCCTTCTCAAAAACCCGTACCGGCAAATCTCCTGTTTCTGAGTGCGCGTTATGCGCATTACCATGCCAGTCCTGAGCTTTTAGCGACACTGCTCACGTCGGCCACGGAAAAGATCAATGACGTTGTCGAGCGATACCAGTGGGATATGACGATGCAGGCATTTTGGCTGTCCAACGCAACTCTTCTCCTCCACTATCTCAAGAAAGACGGCGAGCTGCAAGAAGCAACAGTGCAGTTCCAGCTTCATTTGGCGGAATTGATCAACGAAATTTTCGTTCTCATCATTCGTGACGCAGAGCGACGTATGAACAAAGTCCTTGATGCGGCAATGCTGGACCATGAAACCATCCCTGGACTAGAGGATATCGCTTTCCAGAATGAATGGAAGCTCTTCCGGAAGAAGAAGTCTGAGGCACCGGAGCCCGCAGAAAAACGATTTCGTCCGCCATCACCACGGCGCCGAGCACAGATCTCTCCGCGCAATATTACCTCCTTGCTATCATCCACACTTTTCGTGCTTGACCTCTATGATGTCCACTCTGTCATCACCACGCAAATTCTTTCTCAACTCCTCTACTGGCTCAGTGCGGAGATATTCAACCGGATCATGAGTACAAGACGGTACCTAGCGCGGACAAAGGCCATGCAAATCCGCATGAATGTCTCTGCTTTGGAAGATTGGGCTCGGAACAACAATCGCCAACCGGAACATTACGATAACGGGTCTATGTCAGCCACGGGAGAAACTACGGTGGATGCTGCACGCCAACATCTGGCTCCGGTCATCCAATTACTTCAATGGCTGCAGTGCTTTTCTTCACTAGGCGAAGACCACGAATCCCTGGTGACAACTCTTCTTCAACTACAACAGCTTATACCACTTCAGCTTATCCACGCTGTCAAATCATACAGAGCGGAGGTGGGCGAGAAAGGCTTAACAAAACAGGCCATGAAATTTCTGCTAGATATGCAACGTGATCCTGAGATCTTATTCCGCGAACAACATCGCATTCAAGCTGCGAAAGAGACGGCAGCAGCTGCGCCCACATCAGATGCACCCCAAGATCGACCGCAGACGCCTTCTAGAGACGAACCCCAACAATCAACCCCGGCTACGCCCGATCCTAACCTCGCATCGCCTGGATCTGTCGGCACATCTTCTCGGCCAGCAAGCATGGTCCTGCCATACAGGGAGGACCGTCCAGGCAAGGAGAGTGTTTTCCTCGACCCAACTCTCTTCCTTCCCTTCTCTCTACCAACCAGCACAGACATGCTTATTTCTTACGGAGCTGGTCTCGGCGGCACCAACCGTGAGCGAGCACGCAAATACATTCCCACTGTTCCACCAGAGGTCCTCAGTCGTTTCGATCGCGGAAACGAGGCATAAAAATACCGACTTGAAAGGTGTTTGTTCTCTCTGCTCGGATTCCAGTGGTGCCTACCATACATCCTTCTGTTTTATATGCTCAGTTCCTGGCTACGGCGTCGATTTTTCGGTTTGCCAAGGACGCATGCGATTTCGGAAGATCATCGGAAGAATCAAGGACAATGCTATACCCTTTTCGCTCCTGGCTTTTTCTTAGCTTGATGCTAGACAGAGAGTTCGGATAGGAACATCTCAGTATATATTCATTTTCTAAATGAAAACTTAAAACATTCTCAAAATATTATCATGATCATCATGTTGAGATGCACCAGACGAAGGCGGGAGCCCTGAAGTACTACCCGTAGGTATAGTTAGTAGTAGTAAACCGTGCTCTACTTAAGTAAACTAGTACCGTGACTATTTGCAGACCGATTAAAGCAACCTCTTTGGTGGGTTTTAAAAAACTGACCATATTAGTATTATTTCGTTTGCTCGTACAAAGAGGTTGAGCGTCACCGCCTAAGGGATTCAGCGCCCCGCCTTAGCCTGGGATTTACGACTCGTATATTTTCTCTATCAACCTTGGAACCTCTCTAGCTATTACAAACCCCGCTTCATGTCGACATGGGCTCTAAGACACCTGATCAAGAGAGACAGTCGAACGGCAGTAAGTATCGATTACACAAACCCACTCGGGTGGTGTTAACTTTCACCAGATGAGTCGTCCGGCTCAAGCAAAGCCACTTCAGCTGGCGGAGAGCCACTCGGCGCCCATCTTTCCCGAGATGGCGATGGCAGCCTGGGAGATGGAGGCGATGGTGGAGATGATGAGGATGGCGATGCCACCCTAAGCGGGCCGGATGGCGCTGTTGACCCCGAGGCAACAGCACAGCCAGCATCAGCCAATGCCTCCCAAAAGAAGAAACGAAAGAAGTCGAAAAAGAAGAAGACTTCTGGACCGAAACAGTCGTCTCCTCCCCGGATTCCTCTGACCAAGCTCTTTCCCACTGGCGAATACCCAGTTGGCGAAATTCAAAGCTACGCCCAAGTTGATAACACGGCTCGAACGACTGCTGAGGAAACTCGCCTCAAGTTTCGTACTCAGCTTGAAGACCCAGACTTCCTTGGGCCCTACCGCAAAGCAGCTGAGATTCATCGTCAGGTCAGACGTCACACGCAGGAGTCTGTTCGGCCAGGCCAGACCCTTACTGAGATTGCCTTGGGTATCGAGGATGGCGTGCGAGCGCTCCTGGATAATCCTGGCCTTGAAAAGGGCAGTTGTTTGATATCTGGAATGGGATTTCCCACAGGACTCGCGCTCAATAATTGTGTTGCGCATTACACCCCCAATACCGGCCAAAAGGAGATTGTTTTGAAATCGAGCGATGTGATGAAAGTTGACTTCGGCGTCCATATAAATGGGTGGATTGTTGATAGTGCTTTCACAATGTCCTTCGATCCCACCTATGACAATCTTCTGACCGCGGTAAAGGAGTCGACCAACACTGGTATCAAGGTACGAGATAACCCCCGCTCCCCAA